CCAGGGGGCAGCGAGGTCCTGCGCGCACCCCCCGTGCCGCACCGGCTCACATACTTGACCTCCTGGAACTCGTCGTAGTGCGCAGTCATTGAAAATGGGGCCTCCATGGCGCTGCCGGCGCCACCCTGCAGCCCTTGGCGATCTCCGTTACAGGATGCACCCGGCCGCCGGCCTTCTGTCTGGCCTCCGCATGGCCCCCCCAGGCCGCAGCTACAGGAAGGGTAGATGCAGGCTTAGAGAGGCACTGGGGCCCGACGGAAGGGGTGCAGGCCTGGGTCCCGAGGCTGGAGGTCATCCGACTCCCCAACAGCGAGCAGCCCTGGCGCCTGGCCTCCCTGCGCCAAAAGGAGAATGAGGGAAGGGGAAGGCTCAGAGTGGCCACCACTTCCCACCGATGCATCCTTTGACCTGTCTCCTCTTTCCCTGAACACCTATGCCCGTCGCAGATTTAGGAGGCCCCAGGTGGAAAGCTGGGAGCACCAGGCACGGGGCCTGGCACGTAGTAGGCCTTCAGTGAAAGACTGTTTCTCTTGCCTTAGCCTTTCTTGTCCAAGACCTGCTACGGCCAAGGCCGGTGGGGGAGGGGGAAAGCGGAAACTGGAGAAAGGAGGTGCGGTCCGGAGAGCGTCTATGCGGACACTGAAGCCGCCTTCAGCTCCCAGAAATTAGACGTTCGAGAAAGCGGTTGAAAAAACAAACGGCCCTCGCGGATGTCAACAGGGCGACCCCCAGCCCCGTCTCCTTCTGTTCAATAGCTAGAATGCCCCTTTCTCAAGCGTCGCCAGCCGTCTGGCCCAGAAAGAGTCGGAACCCCCGACGGCCCTACGAACCTGGACCCAGTACCGTCTCCAGCTCCCCGTCCCGCCTGGGCTACTCCCGGCTTCAACAGGTTCTCCTTGGAACCCAAACTTGGGCGAAGTTTCACCCCTAGCGTGGAGGGAGCCGGCTCCGCGCGCCCCGAGGTCTGGACGCTGAGCCTACCGCACCGCGCCGCACAGTCCGCGGAGCCAGAGAGCAGAGCCCGGAGTCGCAGCCGCAGCCGGAGAGAGAGCTGCGAGGACGCAGACAAAGCCTAGAGGCTCGCCGCGGCGCGGAGGTGGCTGCGTTGGTGGCCGCGGCAGCAGAAGACCGAGTGCCACTTACCCATCAGGTGCGCACCCGGGCCGAGCGGGAACAGAACGGGTTGAGCCCGTGCCCGAGCCGGAGCCCGAGCCCGAGCCGCAGCCCGACCAGAGCTGGAACGGGGTGGGCGATCGTTCTCTCCGTGCGCCCGCCGCTTCCTCTGCCGCCGTACGGCTCCGCGCCGCCCGCCAGCCCCGAGGGAGGGGGCGCGCCGGCGGCTCCACCCTCCTCCTCCCGCCCTCTTCTTCCCCCTCCTTCCTGTCTCCATCCAGGCTACCTGGCAGCTCTGGCAGCTCGGGGGCGGGGACGACGGCTGTGGGAACACGCTCCCGAGGGTCTTGCTCTGACTCCGGGCTCGGGGATTCCAGTTCCAACCGCGTCCGGGGAAGAGTGAGGGCGCCTGCTAATCTCGGGATGGGGTCCCTCCGATCCCGTGTCCCCACTCGGGGCTTTCCACCAGCCCGTCGATAAGGGGTTCAGGTTGCAGACGGCGCGTGGGCCGTCCCCATCAGCGTCCACAGGCCTGGAGCACAGCCCGCCCAAGGAGGACTCCTCGGAAAGCTGCCCCTTGTGCCTTTACAGCGCCAGGCGCAGAGCGGACTTCAGTAAGGGACTGCCTGGCCCATCCCAGCTCTTCCCCCTCCCCCCAGGACATCTGGGGTTTGGGTGCCGGTATAACCTTCCCTCACCCAGCCCCTGGCGGAGGGAGAGCCTCCATGGAGGCTGCTGCAGGAAGGGGCCTCGGGGATGAGACTGCATCCCTCCCCAAACCTTGACTGGCCTTGGCACCCTGACCAGAGAGGAAGAAAAGGAGCGGAGAGTCTGCCCTGCAGCCTCTCCTCAGACAGGCCCTGGGCCTCGGGACCCTGGTATGTGGGCTGGCGGGAGGAATGGGTAGGTGTAGAGGGAGTCTGAATTTATCCCCCACTCCTTCTTCCCCTACAACTTGCTTTTTAATGTGGGACCTCTTACCACACTCTCAGCTCTGAGGCGGAGCCCACTTCTGCCTGGCTTGCCACAGTACCCACAGGGCCTGGTCCAGGTGGGACACGGGGAACTCGGGAACTCGGAGCTCCTTGGACGAATGCTATCCTTTCTGGAATCTCTGCTTTCTCTGCCCTCCCTTAGCTACCCCCTCTGCGTTCGGTGTCCTTAGCAGAGGACCAGCACTCCCAGGCCTGCAGGACTGGCCTAAACAATATTGGAGAGCTTAAGACTGCCATGGGGCCCATCTGATGAGAATATGATAAAGCAAGGACCCAAAGGACCCATTGCCCTGTTCCCTCCCTGGGGCTTCTCATAAGCACAGCCACTGGGTCCTGGCCCCGAGTGGCCTCCTCTGTCCCTATTCTGCCTGTCCCATGTCTGTCCACCTGTCCATCTCTAAACAATTCTCTGGATACTCTCTGCCTCCACTCTGGCCATTCTAGGGCCCTCCTCCACCCCTTATGTTCTTCTTGGGTGCGTTTAATTCTCCGGAAGAGAAGTGGAATTATGTAAAATGTGGTGAGTCCATAAAGGGGGAGGGGAGGGCAGGGCGGTGGCAAAGTGGCTCTTTGTGCTTTTAATCTGCATTTTCCCTCAACGTTTTGTCTCCAGGAGGATAATTTCCCAGCCTTTTCAGGCCCTGATTGGTATCATTTCTCCAGCAATGACAGTTTTTATTTTCCCTGAAATGAATGCCGTGAAATTTCCAAGAAATATAAAAATGGATATTGTCTCAGGGAGCTGACTCTCTTCCGACAGAAAGGCAGAAAGACCCAAAAGGCAAACTTGCTTCCCAGGGACCCTCCCAGTCCCTGGGGGTGGGGGCCCAGGCCCTCAGCCCCTCCTGTGCCCCTCCCTCCTCCCAGCTCAGCTGTCTGAACCTCCTGGCCAACCCTCTCCCAGACTCAGCTGCCATCGTTCTGTTCATCCACCTCCCCAGTCCTGGCCAGGCCACCCTGCTGGCAGGCTCCAACTTACCTGCTCTGTATAACACCTCATCCCCCACACCCAGCCCTGAGCTCAGCAGCCAGCACCCCTCCCCAGGATTGGGCCCATGACCACTCAGTCCTGGTGGCCCTAAATGCCCACCAGTAAAAGCAACCAGGCCTTGCCTCCTTTGCTCCTCCACCCCTTTCAGGAAGTGAAGCCAAGCAAAGATGAGTGGGGCTCCCTCACTCTCTTTTTGAGGCTTCCAGAACTCTTCCAATGCCTCCTCCCCCGCCCCTCCCATTGTCAAGGTGACCCGCTGAGGAGCAAGAGAATGACTAGCTACAACAGCTTCCAGCCAAACCCTGAATGAGGTCAATGGATGCCCCAGCTTGCAGGGTGGGGAGAACAGGAGTGAGGGAGCATGGGCCAGAGCTGCCTTGGAGGGAGAAGGCCTGAGGGATACAAAGGACTGAGGTTAGGGATTTGGTGAGTTCCCTGAGCCTCTCATCTCTACCCCTTCCCTGATGTGATCGTGGCCCAGATCCCAGCCCACCCCTGCTAGGACCTGGGTTCCGGGGCAGGGGTGCAGAGGAGCACCAGCTCACTGGGAATAGCATCCTCACACTGATGACTCCCATCTATTGAGCTTCCACTAAGTGAGATGCTAAATGCTTCACTCCAAAGGGGGGCTGCCAACCTGAAGCCAGGCCCTGTGATGATCAGACACATTTTTGTGCCCCTCTGGCATGCACATGTTGGGGGACAGACTGGGCCCCCATCTGCCTGCTGCTTGAGCCCCTCAGGAGCTGAACCCCTAGCCCAGCCTCTGCTCTGGGAGATGCCCCCAGCCTCCACCCTGCCCAACCAGCCCTTGCTCTCACCACTGACAGTTCTGCGGTATCTTCTGTGCCCTGGAAAACACCCCCAACCAGCTTCCTGTCCTCTGCCCAGCCTCCCAGGGCTCATCCCATCTATTATTCACAGCACAAAATGGATTTTTAATTTGAGAAATTAAATGACTCTCCCAGGTGGCTGGGGTGGTAGGGAGGGGGTAGGGAAGGTTGGAGCCACAAGGCGGCCACCATGGTGCTGACTCAGGCTGTTATTGGAAATCTGGGTGCCCACAGCAGACCTGGGGACTCCAAAGGTCCACATACCCCACTGCCCAGCCTGTGCCTTCATTCCACCCTATTGCTATGTGCTCTGTTGCTATGACCAACGCAAGTGAGTGGGTACCCATCAGTGGGCTCTGCCCCTGGCCGGGCAAGGGGCTAAGGAGGGCTGGTGCTACACTTACTTCAGATTCTTGGACCTGGAGAGCAGCCTTGGGCTCCCTGGCCTACATCCGGGGCTTAGACCTTCATGCAAGGGCCTAGAAATCAATCTGGGGACACTAACCTCATACCAGAATACAGTCCTGTATCGGGTCCCCAGACTTCCATCCAGGGCCCATAACTCCATCAGGGGCTCCG